GGGGTTGGTTGTGGGGGGGGGGTTGGTTGTTTGTGGATCCTACAGGTCAACTGCCACGAAATGATTCAATGTAAATGTTTAACTTACAAAAGTTACCGTAAGTCGTAGAAAGTGTACCGTATTGAACTCGATGTAATGGGTATTAATATACTCGTGTGAAGTTTACGATTTTCGTTCGTTTCTCGTATCATAATATCACACTCCTGTATCAATACCAATCATTAATCGTTTCATAATGTACTTTTAAAGAATATTTAAAATACGTGAATGTATTCCTTAATCATTTAAGCAAGATACAAAATATTTCCGCTTTTAAATAGAATTCTGCGGTTAATCTCTTGTAGATACTTAAAAAGTTTAAAATTGACAAAATGAAAACGGACACGAGTCATCGCTCATTAACATTACAAATTTGATTAAAGTTTTCTCAAAAACCTGAGTGCATGTGTGATCACCTAATACAACTTCGACATAACTAAAAAGATGTGGATTGAGAAAATATTACTCTGATAGGTAGTTTTTAGCAGTTTTTCCGATCAACACCAAAAGAATGCCGGAGCAGTACCCTTAAAAACGGGCCACGGACCACGGACCACGTGCAATCTTCATTTCCCTTGTCCTATCATCACCCCTTACACACACACACACACACACACAGCAGACACCAGTCGAAATCTTAGAGCTATTCCGGCTGGTGGCAGATACACGGTTGTGTAAAACCCCGCTAGCCGACTTGTAGGTCGTCGACGGACCTTGCCATTTGGCGGGAAAAGACCACTGTCTGCAGCGATAAAACTTGCACTACACTCACGAGATAAATGATCTTAGCATTTGACGCGGTCTGCCCCACAATTCAATATAAAATCCTTGCATACGGACCTTTTCTCAACAGGCAGCGGGGGATCTGCCCGTCACCGTGCAAGCGATGACGGAGCAGGTGCGCTGCCTGGAGAGGGGGCTGGAGCAGGTGGACGGGCGCGGGCGGCTGGAAGAGACCCTCAGCGACTTGGTGGGCCGCGCCATGGGCCAAGTGCTGGGCGCGATGGAGCGCCGGCTGACGTGGGCCCTTTCAGCGACCGAGAGGCGACTAGAGAAGCACATCCGCGAGCAATTCGACGATCTACGCCGCAGCGGTGAGTTTTTCCCCTAGAATTTCACGGCGCTTCGCTTTCCCAGTATTTGTTAGTTATTAATTTATTTATGCCCTTAAATGTTACCCTCCTTAAAAGGACGCTGTTTTGTGTCTAGGGCGAGAATTCCGTAAGCGAGACGGAAAGTCGTCTCGGCCTTCCACCCACACAGATGTCCACAGAAGTAGCTCGTCGAGTACCACAAACTCCTCGCCCCTTCCCGGGCCCGCCCCGGAGACATCTTCCTCAAATGACAGTGCGCCCGCAGTCATCCATCGTTCCTTCCCGCAGGCAAGCCTTGGCGATACGTCAGACTCCTATCAGCCCGGGCAATATCTTTTAATGCAGCAGCCGCCAACACTCGGTTCATTCCAATACCCTCTGTCTCCCGGTTTTCAATCTCTTGAGTATCCCTTCTTCAACTCCGATCTCTTAGCTACGCACACGTCCATCTTCACTCCTTACTCCACCTCTGTCTTCACACACGAAGCTTCTGCTGCCGTCTCTGGCCTCGTTTCCACCTCTGCACCCTATTTTGCCTCCGTCCGCACCTCTGGCCCCGGCGTCGTATACACCACCGCTCCCT